AGTGCGTTCGACAGATATTGTAGTACTAGCCGGAGACTTGAATGCTCAGGTCAGGCGTCTAGGTACAGAAGAGAGTCGTTTAGGTGGCCGATGGGGACTTGTTGGTCGCAGGACAGATAACAGGGACCGTCTACTGCAGCTGTGCTCAGACCACAACTTATTTCTGGCTAGCAGAGTCTTCGGCGATGTGTCACCTGGCGGCCTGCCTCTGCATCTCAAGTCTCGACTAAGATTGATCACATTGAGATCAGCTACCACTGTGAAATAATACCCAAGCCATACAATCCGCACTTAATCAGTTGGCAATCAGTGTCCGTAGGTACGGTATGTGCTTTCCACCTTCGAAGCGCAAAGTATTTTTATAAGACTGGCAGAACCGTGATCCTGCACTCACCCTGGACAGTGAGCGGATAGAAACAGTCGAGAAGTTCGTGTATCTAGGTAGCTGTGTAAGTGCTGGTGTTGGCTTGAGTATAAAGATTAATTTACATATAGTGAAAGCTAGGTCGGCTTTTGCGAACTTGACCATCTTTGGCTCCTTCGTGATGTCAGTCTGGCTGTAAAAGGTCGGATCTACAACGAGTCAGTGAGAACAATTTTGCTCTATGCTTGTGAAACCTGGCCTCTCCGAGTTGAGGATGTTAGACGACTCCCTGTGTTTGATCATCGTTGTCTCCGAAGGATTGCTGACATTCAGTGGCAACACCATGTTAGTAATGCCGAGGTTCGGCATCGTGTGTTCGGGCACAGAGACGATAATGCAATTGGTGTCACCATCTTGAGACACCGACTTCGGTGGCTTGGACATGTTCTACGAATGTCATCCCGGAGAATTCCTTTTCGTGCATTATTTGCCGACTCTGGGACTGGTTGGAAAACACGGAGAGGTGGTCAGTATATGACATGGTGTCGTGGTATGAAAAAAAGCTGTACAGACTGTTTTCTGTTTATCCTTCAATACTCCCAGATTCCCAGAAATGTTTCATTACTGGCTGGAAACTTTATCAGACATAACTGAGAATAGAGGCCGGTGACGATCCTGCTGTAACTTGCTTTTACTTCATAAAAATGAACGTAACTTCTTTAACTGAAAGGATTCTTTCTGGTTATATTTTTGCTAACTGAACTATTTCTTCCGTTATTGTCACTTCACTGTCATACATTAATTTCTGTTCATTGTTTTAATTCTTTTTCTTTTACGCAACTTACATTATTTATATCTTCACATTCTCATTATTATTGTTTCGCGCATATATATCTGGTGCCCCTTTGTACCAATATTTACGTGTTCAAATAAATAAATAATGCACATAAACATCAGGTGCTGCATTTCGACCTAAAAGTTCAGTGTTTAACAACATCTGCTCACTGTTTACCTGTTTCGTCCACTAGTTTTCAAAGCGACCCAAATAAGTCACTGTGATTAAGTATTTTACTTATACCCTGTAAATCACCTCGTTATCTTCTGAAAAATCTTCTAGTTTTATAATTTGTGCTTCCATTTTACGGACATCCATTCTCGAAACAACACATGATTGAAAATGTACCAATGACTCCTCAACAGTGGCTAACGACAGAATTTTTGTACTGTCATATTTTATATCAGCAACGCTTATGGCATATTTATACCAGAGAAAATTTGATAAAAAAACTAGTCATTGTCAGTCTACTTAAAATTTCGACGCTTACGTGTTTGATGTATAATGTTTTCTAAATGGTTTTCGCTTTGTTCTAGGTTACTGGTGCTGTACTTGACAAGTCTGGTGATGTACGGTATGTTTTAAATGGTACATGGGATGATTCACTCGAGTATGCACCTGTAGTGAGTACTAGACATTCACGCAATGGAAAACCAGTATTGGAAACTGGACCTGCACGTGTTCTGTGGCAAAGTAATCCTTTACCACCTGATGCAGAACGAATGTATTGTTTCACGCGTTTGGCATTGCAGTTGAACGAACCTGATGAGGATGTATGCCCTACTGATTCTCGTCTGCGTCCTGATCAACGTCTTATGGAAGCCGGTCGTTGGGACGAAGCTAACAGGGCAAAAGTAGAACTTGAAGAACTACAGCGTCAACGGAGACGTCAAATGGCTGCCGAATTAGCCGCCCAGTCACTTGCTTCTAGTAAACAAGACGAATCGAGCGACACACACAGTAAATCTGATAGCTCCGTTTCTGAACAATATAACGGTCAATCATGTCCGTCTGCCAGTAACTTTCGTAAGTTCTCAAGCGTTAGTGGGTTTCTTGCTGCTCTTTTGTATATCTAATATTGTTGTTGTTTTTATTTAGAGTTTATGCATGTAAATACCATTTATGCTTTTTGCATAAATGCCATTATCATTATTACGGCTTGATTACTCGTCATTTCCGTATATATGCACTGAATAGTTTCGTTTTCGACTACACTTTGGGACACAAAACATGGGGAAAATAAGATTTTTAGAATATTCAAAATAACTTGGCTTTACTTAGCAGTTTGTAACGTCAAATATACAAGTAGTGTGTATGATGGGTTTTAAGTTACACATTAAGTTTCTTTGTTGAATAAGCAATCATTTGTATGACGTCTTCACTACATATTTACAGGTTTAGACAAGGGGTTTTTCTTACTCTGTAAAAAACAATGATATTTCGCTAAATACATATAATGCCTTGATCATGTATGTATCCTATTAGTTAGTGGTGTTCAGACTGAGAATTATTTCCTGTAGTATATTCCTTTTTTTCGGGTGGCAGTTCCGAATACACACACAGTTGTGACTAAGGCCAAGTAAACAAATCTGTACTTGTCTACTGAGTTCTATTACCAAATTAACATATCCTGCTTCGTGTAATTAATGTCATATTTACTAATGATTATTCATTGATTTCATTTTTCCAGTCGATATTGTTGATAGCCAGCATAAACCACTATGGTTTACAAAAGAATTCGATCAATTTACAAACAAAGAAACGTATATATTTACTGGGAAATACTGGGAGCACAAATTAATTCATGATTGGTCAATGTGCCCGAAGATCTACTAATCTTCATAAGTGCAGAAAAAATGGATATACATACTCACCGTACTATTATTTTTTATTCTTTTTCTTGCCAGTGAATAACTAAACTAATCGTGATAGATATTATTTGTTTCCGTGTTACTGACACGGAATTATTCTTGTACTCTCACAACAGTTATAACATATTGAGTATTATCAATATTCAAGATTGGTATGCACACATTTAGATTTGTAATCGTGTTCGAATAATTCAAGATCATTCTCATCAGTGTCTTTAATTATTCAAGAAGTTACTCTTTTTCAGAAATACACATTTTTCTTGTGTCCTACTCTGATTTCTGTGAATGATCATGAAAAGAAGTCATAAAGTTTGGTCTGATGCTTATCAGTACTAACACTTTCCCATATGCGTATACTGCATTAGTAACTATTTAGTGTGACTAGTTCACTTTTCTCACTTGACTCCGTCAAGTTGCATCTGATAGCTATTTACTTCTACTTATTAGCAAACAAAATTATTCAGTCAAATCCAAACGTTAATCTGATTTCTTACATCAGGTATACAAACTAAATCCTACTATTTGATTCATGGTTGTTTCGTTCTCCATACATTTTCTTGATCAGTTATTTACTTTTGTGAAGAAAAAGCATCATATCTGTCTATATTTAGTCGGCATGTTCATTTCTATTTTTCCACTTGTTCCTTATTTGTGTAGCATAAATTTCTTCTAGTGTTTACAAAAGACACTCATTTTGTGATTAAAATCTTTCACTCTGTTTAATTTTCCCTATGTTGAATATTATGTTCTACTTGTTTCTCTGCATGATTCGATTTAACTAGAGCTGATGAACTTTGTGCACTGACGCGATCTTTTTCGCTCTATTTCTGTTACTTATATAATTTTTCAATAAAACAAGAAACTTTATTCAGCATTCAAATTAAGATATATGATAAATAATGCTCAACTTTCTGTGAAATTTCGTATTTCAATGTTGCATACTAATTGAGTGTTAATATCTAATACTGGATTAACTTGGAACTGCAGACCATGAGTTTTGAAAATATATAAGATATGTTATGACCGCACACTAATCGGTGTTGTGCAATGCCAAATTAATTGGTAATTTGTTACTACCTGATTAAAGGATACCATTTCCATGTATTCTAATAAAAGTACATTGGTCACCACTTGGGATAATTTACAAGAAATAAAAATATGTTAAGACTACTTGTATTTCAAGATCATTTATGTTTTAATTCTTCGCTCTAATTTAAGTGAATACCCTGTCATTTTTTAATCAGATAGACTAATGTAAGAATGTTAATCGTTTGCATTGTTTCTCTATCTGACCTTAATCATATCAGTTGCTTGTGGGAGTACAGTTGCTCTGTCGCATAAATCGTTAGACAAATATTGGTTCGTCTCGTGCAATTGCACTGGGAAATTAATTTAGGTACACAGAATAAGAGATATTTTCTAGGCGCAACTGTTTTTGTTCTCTTACTAGTACGTAACTACAAATGCCTTAGAAATACTGCTGGTATCATCGGGTAATAGTGAGGTTAGACGCAGGGTATTAGGGAATGATGGTAAGTCAGTTGATGAAGTTGTTAATCCTCATCGACTGAGATGGTTGGGCTACGTGTTGCGTATGCCTGAACACCGATTACCACGACCTGAAATGTCCTACGTTGTAGCTGATTGAATTGGACTGCCTATTTTTATTAAACGTTAAGCTTATATCCGACAATCAAGGGCCTCAGCAATTAGTTTGGATGTTCACAGCAGGTCATAGAGAAGCACTCCACTACTCATTGTTAAAAATACTAATATATACAATCCCTATCAGTCTTTGTAATTTCTTATGTGGATGTACTTCTGAAATTTGGTTTCGACATTCATTGTAGCTGGAAACACGAAACTTCAAGGATAAGGTGCAGCTTCCCATTGGGCAAAATAATAATTATTATTTGATTATTTCAAACCCGTCATTATTAATTAAAAGAATATGTATTGTTAAGGAAATCTATAATATCCATGGAACATTCAAGAGATATAGTCAAAATTTTCAGGTATTCCAAACTGGCGACAGAATGTAGCTTCATCGAGAGAAAATTTGTTATTTAACCATGACTTGATGATAAATATATTATCTGCAGAAAAAAATGGTAAAAAATAACGCTAATTTAGGTTAAAATTTCATACTTGATCAGTAACACAGTAAAGTAAGTTTCGTGGTTTGCTGCCTTTTTTCTACAAACATAACTTTCCACAACTATTGTTAAAGCGAACCCAGTGGATGTGATGAAAATAAGTATATAGGTGTAACTTATTCTAAACTGCATTCAGTCACAACCTTAACAAGGACGAACTATGTTATTCCTAATCCCTATGAGAGCTATCGAAGACGCTTTGTGAAGAAAATCCAAAACCATTGGCTTATAATTTAGACACCCGAATATGAAATTTTGGGAGCGATTACAAGTTATTCTCTGAAAGATAGTGATTTTAACTCTACCAACAAAAACTGGTGGTCTGTGTTCTGTTGGCAAGTGTGGACCATCTGGTTGACATCCACACGATAACAATGGTAAGCGGGTAGAAACGCCGGGATCAGTTACAGTGGTGTATATGGATTTTCCGTTCATCTTCCATCAACTCTAGAAATTCAAAGCTAATTCATACTTGTAACTTCTTAGACTCATCTCTTCTATTGGGAATAGACCCTTAAATGTTTAATTTTACAAATTAACATTGATACTATTTATGTTAATTTTACTTTGTAGAGTTAACATGGCTTAACGCGGGATTGTCCCCGATTGTGTTAATCACAACTGACTGACTAGCAGCTAAGGTGAAATTCACACGAATACATTATTGTCCGGGGTGGCGTACCTATTTATTTTTCGTTTCCGTTATGAGATCACTTTAATTAAATTAAAGGAATATATATATATATATATATATATATATATATATATATATAACTCACCCGTCCAACGATTAACAGAGTCAACAGCCACCATTTCTTGTTGTTTTAGCTCTAACAGGCGGTCAGGGTCGTATTTTTTTAAATCCTGAAGCTCTGAACTGAGAGATTCAAGCAACAACTTTTGTTCAGTTAGCTTGTTTATAACTCTGTTTCGCTCTTCCTATATTGAGTTCAAACATTCATCAATATACATATTTACTGTATCTTTCCTTTTCAACAAAGCTTCATCCAATGCTTTAGTTGTCTTAGAAATCTGGTTGCGTGTATTTTTAATATCTTCCGTTACTTTTTCTATGTTGTTTCTAAGCTAAATTTAAACATGTTTGCTACTAATATGTGGCTTACTTTTTGTGCAGCTTTACTGGGAAACGCCCAAAAATAAACACTAGTCCCTATTTTGTCAGTATCGACCAAACCGTCGTGAACAAGGCTCATCAACACATCCTTTACAGACATAGAGTTGATACCCTTTTCTTTCTGGCATAGCCTTTCCAATTCCTTAAGTTGAAAAAAGTCCTTCTAAGTCAAATAGTATATCAAAACGAAAAGTTATTTACTTTCTCGTAGAAAAAATCCAACATTCTTTGCCGCTTTTCATCGAGACTCAGACCTTTTTTCTTTGACTATATTTAATAATTTTGACACAGGAAAAACATTAAAAATGTACTAAAATATGAGTTCATTTTCATACTAAAGATCAATCAGATTATTTAAAAACCAAAAACTCCATTATGTTTGTTGCAATATTTCTGATCTTCAATTCACTTCACTGAGAGCGTTCATGGTTGTTGAAGTTATCGCTATCCACCAAGAAATAAATGTGTGAACTGTAAATTTAGCTAGTCAAGCGCAGTGTGAAACTCGATTCAAGCTGTCACTTCACACTATTCAAGAGACATGAAATTGTCAGGACTAATTCCAAATAAGTAAGAATAGTAACAGGATAATTGGTATCAGGGAAGTTTAAATATAGAACATATTATTAGGAGGAATAGGAAACAAACTGAGTATGGAGAACAGAGAAATTACATATCCATATCACCTTATACCTCAGGTAGTTCTTAAAGTTATTTTCAATTGACGGTTAACAACAAACATGACTTCAAGTACTCCAGTAACTTGTTAACAAAAACATCTAGTTGTTTATCGACTTTGCTAAAACTCATTCCCTATGTTAGAGAAAAATGATATAAAATCATTTCGTAATCTTAATTGTTTGAGAAACTGACCTAGCTTATAGAACAGACCAGTGGAACGCTAATATATTAATGTTTATCACACCATTATTTCATGGTCAATCACACTAAACACTTGACTAACAAGTGCCATCCAAAATATGCGAGACCATGGTCTGCAGCTAGTATAGACCAAATAACTTCTTTGAGCTGAAACGGTTCAGTTTCAGGTCTAATGTGAATAGTCTAGCCACTAAGCTGCACTAATTCTAATCAATTCGATGGTTTTTCAGAGGCCGGTATGTCCTGATGATACGTGAATGAGTTTGTCCAATGGCAGTGCGGATGCTGGAAACAGGAGCTATAGCCAGAGCAGTTACCAACATAAGAATTCTCAGATCTTGGAATATAGAAGTTGCGAGAGAGAAAGAGTTGGATTTAAATAAACAAATAACCAACTGACCAATGGGTCGCTCACTTAAGTAAGTAACAAACAACCCGGGGAGATAGGCCTATTCCCAAGTTTTGGAGAACTTTAGATTTCTCCCGTCATATGAAAATTTGTGGTTTTCCTCAAAGTTTGGGAAAGTTTCGGGGTGTTTGCGACCTCCCTGTTGCAAGGTGAACACAAATATTTATGGATCAGCGTTATTAAACTCGATAGTAGTGAGAAATGCTTGACTTAATTAAAAAACAAAGATGATTCATCATACTGAAAAGCACTCTGATACTATACAATACTTAGTAAGAGCACTCCTTACCATGTTACTTAAAGTACAAAATTTTGAAGTGTATACATCTGAAGGTCAACTATGTGTTATCGCATACTGAGAAAGCTGTAACAGGCAATTTTTGGTGGGTTTGCATCTAGCTTGAATGTTCGTTGTACTGTGGGGGATTATGAAGAACAGCGCGTCTGTTCACTAAACCCACAGAATATATTTATATTTGGTAATGAAGATAATCGATAACAACTAGCCATAACATATGCGAAAGGTTAAGACAGTTTAATTGTCGAAGTTAAGAGCTCAAAGGGTGAGATTTTCAATAATTTTGGGAGACTTGCATTTTGAGAAACTTATTGTGATGTATAACTAATATGTCAGATAAGTCTAGTCCACCACTAACTGATAACATTCAAAACGCTCAACTCTATGTCCGAATAGTACCTTTCAATCCAAGTTATTCTCTGGGTCTCCAGATATAGGTGAAAAGATATTGAATATGATAAAGCATAGAGTTGTCGTGGTTAGTGTGTTTATGTTTCGGAAGATACACTCTCCCTCCGACTTTAATAACGAGAATCAGTTCAGTAGAATTTTTTTGAGCCTTTTTACAAAAGCTCACTGTCTGTTTAGGTAAAAGATAGCTGCTTGTATGCAGAACTTGAGTTCCAGCTGCACAAATACTGTATACAAAATCAAAAACTTCCTGGCTTAGGTATGGCTACAGGCTCTAGGTATTGCCTATAGTATTCTAAAACCTTTGGTTGCTATCGCACGGCAGTGTACAGTAATCTTCTAGTCTTGGCTTATGATGACTCCTTAGTCATTATGTGTCTGGACAGTAGGTAGCTCAACGCTATTCACCGTGTATGTATCTTTATATCAAAATGCACTTGGAAGCTGCCAAATTTTAGATCACTCGTATTATTTTCCTAAATCATTTTGAGGCTTTAAACCATCACCTTCACTTCTTATCGCTCTCAGTATCTTGACATCGTCAGCACATAACAAAACTGATGATGATAGAAAACTAGGAAGCTTATTTACATATAAGAGGAACAACACTGACCCCAAAACTGTACCCTGAGGCACTCCTCTAAGTGCAGTTTCCCAGCTAGACAACTTCGAATTCATTCTTAATCTTTGTTTGGACCCAACTGGGAAGTATTTTATAGACATAAACAAAGTGCCTCTAATTGTGATATTGCTTAAATTATATAACATCCTGTTGTGAAGAACTTTGTCAAGAGCCTTGCTAAAGTCAGTGTAGGCTACTTCTTTGGGTAAATTTTAATCTTTCGGAGCGCACCAACTCTCACGGGCTACCAATAAGTTGGTGAGACACTTGATGTCCTGTTCTAAAGACACTGACTTTCAGAAAGAATCTAGCTTTCGTTACAATACTTGAACAACTTCCGAATGATCTTTTCTAAAATTTTAACAACCTCTCCTGCTAGACTTACGGGTCTATAGTTCTCCGGTTTATGTCTCGTACCTGTTTCAAAGAGAGGACTTATTATAGCATTCCCCTAGTCTTCTGATAATCGATCCTAGATTACAGGTACATGAAAACACACCCTCAGAGGATTCGCGATTAAATTTACTAGTACCTTTAGTAACCCAGGACGCATTTCATTGGGTTCCATGGTTTTGTCTATATCAAACTTATCAGCAAACCAAAGACATCGAGTTCCTTAATGGTCACAGGGTCCAGTGTGTGTGGGGGGGGAGTGCTTGTATGAACCGATGGGAGGGCATTTCTGCGGTATAGATACTGCTAAAGTGGTTGGAGAATATCTGAGCATAACCACAGTCGTCCTTTGACAAAGGTTAAGTATTATTGTCTCCATATTGTACTGCAATATTTCGTATTCTCATAGCCCTTTGGTTTATGTGTGAGTGTGAGCGTTTTAAACATTTTGTAAAATCGTTAGCAATATTTTCGTCGTACAATCTTCTACACTTGCAGAGGGTCGAGAGAAAAAGATTTCGAGCTCATCAACCCTGTAATTTCTTCTTATCAGTACCCGGTAATTCAAATCATTACCACACTCTTCTTCTAAGGGAGGGAGAGAACCTACCTACTGAACCATGTTGTGAAGGTTATTGGACTACTTGGTGTAGTTCAATGTAAGTGTGGTGCAGTGACTTATAAGTGAACTTTCTGAATAAATCCCAAGGCGTTTCAATATGGAGAACAGGTTCCATTAACCAATTCACCGAGGATGCTCAGTGCATAATATCTTGTATATTTGTGTAGAATTCTGGATCTACTATGATATTATTACTGCTCTAATAATGGAACTAATCCTAAAATTGTAGATTTGTCATGGTATAACTGCCTAATCTATAAGATCTTACGTGGAGGTCACATCATCGTCCACATCACCTCATCGCATCGTAACACTTACCAATACATGATGGAAAACAGTCTTAGGCTAGAGATGGAACAATATATTTAATACGAATAAAAGATATAAGGTAACAATCAACAGGCGCCACGCCTGCATGGCCGGGTCATGCCATGCGCTCGACTCAAATTCCTTCCATTCATTGTTTCCGCCTTCTCTATCTTTAGGTATTGAACATCCATTTTCCGAGTAGTCTTGTGTTTAGCTTTGAGTATTGTGTGGTCATGGTCAAATGCCACTACATCTGCTCTCTAGATTTCTGGACTAAGTTGAGCTGATGCATGCTCCTCCTTTACGCTTCTGGATTCTGTCGGCTCTTACTAACATTAAAAATTTAAAATCAAGTTTCTTACTGTCTAGGGACTACGTCAGGCAAGTTTATGTCACTCCTTTTGCATCCGGCTTGGTAGAGTCTGGCTGTACACCTGGCTTCAATGACTTATTAGGCAAGCTCTGAGCATTTGTGTAACAGTTCGAAAGCCCATTTATAGGACTTCGTTCTATCAAAGTCTCACCACTTGAAGGATTACAAGTTTTAAGTCCTCCACATAAACATCTAACCTAAATTTCGTCTATTTTTCTGCTTCCTGACTTTTCATACGGTCTGCGAGTGTTGAATCTTTACGGATAAAAATTCTCGCTTCAGTTAGTTTATGTCTATTGTGAAATGGTAAGTCTCTTTTGTTGGGAGATTTAATTAATACTTTTGGCAGCCTAAGTCTGATTCTGTTTCAAGTCTATTTGGTCACCTCATCTATAAACTTTTAGCAAAAGAACTTCGGAAATATTCTGAGGCGTTAACCGGTTTATTAGCTGTTTTGTCAACTCCATATCATGCCTAAAACGAGCTGTGAGCTCCGAGCTTTCCTTTTCCTTGTCTCAGTGAAAGACAACTTACCTGTTACCGAGGTCAATCTTCAAGTTCTTAGTTTCTTTTTGGGGAATAGTCTTTTCCTTGACAACATCAAGTCAGTTATTATTTCTGATCTCTACCTATTCACCAACGATCGTTGCAGTAGCAATCACAATTGCGTCACTCACACTGAAAGATTCTGAATGATTACCAACGATTTGAGTGACCGGGCTGTTGTTTTTCCTGTTAAAATGAGACCTGGCATTACGATTAGGTTCCCCGTCATTTGGAGGGTGAGGGACTGAAAAACCTCCTTTCTTGAAGTTTTATGTCCAAGAGACCCCTTCAAAGTCGGCCCATCGTCCATTGGCCCACGTAAGTCAATCGATTATCAGCATATCTGAAGTAAATGCACACTAATTTGTGCATAGACTGAGCGAGTACTGCTTTCATGTACCTTAATACACCTTTTAGCGGCATTCATTACTGCAATGGCCTTGGATAGCAAGTTGTTCGCGTCAGAAGAGCACAGCCACACGCAATTATTTTTGATGGACCGTTTGAGATCATCAAGCGTTAGATTCATGAAAGTTTTGACAAACCATTGTTTGCACTCATCCCATTGCATGCCACTTCTCATAAAAAATGGACAGCCTGCGCGTCGGTAATTTCTTTCTTCCCTGTCCAGTCATCAATCAGAGGTTTTCAAGAGAAATAATACAAAAACAATGCCCACAGACAAGGGAAGCCGATGACCAGAAAAGGTTAAAAACTTCAAACTGTCAGAATCAGAAGTGCGGACAAATACAAAGAACCAGTGTACTTGTAGTGGCATAAGCACTAACATGAGACAATATGGAAAATAAATATTCAACATTAAACGCGGTGAAATACTTAACGATAGAGAAGGCGGAAACAATGAATGGAAGGAATTTGAGTCGAGCGCATGGCATGACCCGGCCATGCAGGCGTGGCGCCTGTTGATTGTTACCTTATATCTTTTATTCGTATTAAATATATTGTTCCATCTCTAGCCTAAGACTGTTTTCCATCATGTATTGGTAAGTGTTACGATGCGATGAGGTGATGTGGACGATGATGTGACCTCCACGTAAGATCTTATAGATTAGGCAGTTATACCATGACAAATCTACAATTTTAGGATTAGTTCCATTATTAGAGCAGTAATAATAACATAATAGACTGTAATTAAATATACTCAGAAGTATGGATAATAAGTTACTTTTGAAGAAAAAAGATACTCTTGGTGAATAAATTGAAAATAAATTTAGTTATTGCGACAAAGGTGGGTTCGATGCGTAATATATGGTCAAAACCATAAAATCAATTCAACGAGGAAAAATAACACTATAGATGTTTGGATAAAAATGGAATTTAAGTCCAGAGTAGTCGGTTTAATACGCCAACTGCAACGTATTATTTTGTGCCACCTCAAATTATAGCTAGAAAATTGTGTTTGAACGACAACTAGCGTTTTTCCGTCAAGATTATTATAACGTAATTTTATTTTTATAACTTTTGCAGTCATAAATGGACTCTTCTATAGTGTAACTGTCCAGTTTTGCTTGCAATCGGATTTCTTGGTACAAAGTGAAATCGAATCACGGTTAAAAACATGAGTGCAATAGGCATTAAGCATACTAAATTACAGTCAAAACCGTTAATTATTGTAGCCCAATAAACCTTTATTAGCCGTAATTAAACAAAAT